TATCTGAGATACTATAAGCAATAGGTCTACTATATTTGGTGTATGTAATGATAGTAAGGGGTACATGTCCAACTGGCAGGTGTCATCTGACCTTGACCTCATTTTCATGGTTCAGTGGTCATAGTTTAGTTTTTGTGTTTTGGTCTGTTTTTCTAATACTGTATGCAGTAGGTTAACTATATTTGGTGTATGGAAATATTTTACGATGTACATGTCAGTCTGGCATGTTTTATTTGACCTTGACCTCATTTTTAAGGTTCATTGCTAAATGTTAAGTTTTTGTGTTTTGGTCTGTTTTCCTAATACTGTATGCAGTAGGTCAACTATATTTGGCATATGGAAATATTTAATGATGTACATGTCAGTCTGGCAGGTTTTATTTGACCGTGACCTCATTTTCATGGTTCATTGCTTATGTTACGTTTTTGTGTTTTGGTCTGTTTTTCTTACACTTTAAGCAATAGGTCAACTATATATGGTGTATGGAATGATTGTAAGGTGTACATGTCTAGCTGGCAGGTGTCATTTGACCTTGACCTCATTTTCATGGTTCAGTGGTCAAAGTTAAGATTTTGAGTTTTGGTCTTTTATTCTAATACTATATGCAATAGGTCAACTATATTTGGTGTATGGAAATATTTTATGATCTTTATGTCAGTCGCGCAGTTTTTATTTGACCTTGACCTCATTTTCACAGTTCATTGCTCAGTGTTAAGTTTTTGTGTTTTGGTCTGTTTTTCTTAAACTATAAGCAATAGGTCAACTATATTTGTTGTATGGAAGAATTGTTAGCTGTACATGCCTGTCTGGCATGGTTCATCTGACCTTGACCTCATTTCCATGGTTTATTGGTCAATGTTTAGTTTTCTTGGTTAATGTTAAGTTTATGTGACAGTTGTAAGAAAGCCTTATATTTAGGACTATCAACATAATATCAATGATTAGTAAAGAAGGCGAGACATTTCAGCGTGTGCACTCTTGTCTTATACTTTATCCAATAGGTCTACTATATTTGGTGTATGGAATGATTGTAAGGTGTACATGTCCAACTGCCAGGTGTCATCTGACTTTGACCTCATTTTCATGGTTCAGTGGTCAAAGTTAAGTTTTTGAGTTTTGGTCTTTTTTCTTATACTATTATGCAATAAGTCAACTATATTTGGTGTATATAAATATTCTGTGATGTACATGTCAGTCTCGCAGGTTTTATTTGACCTTGACCTCATTTTCACAGTTCATTGCTCAGTGTTAAGTTTATGTGTTTCAGTCTGTTTTTCTTAAACTATAAGCAATAGGTCAGCTATATTTGTTGTATGGAAGGATTGTAAGCTGTTCATGTCTGCCTGGCATGGTTCATCTGACTTTGACCTCATTTTCACGATTCATTGGTCAATGTTTAGTTTTCTTGGTTAAGTCTGTTTCTTAGAAACTATAAGCAATAGGTCAACTATATTTAGTGTATTGAATGATTGTAAGGTGTACATGTATTTCTTGTTTGGTTTATATGACCTTGACTTCATTTTCTTGGATCATGTTAAGTTTATGTAATAGTTGTAGTAAAGCTTTCATTTAGGACTATCAACATAATATCAATGGTTAGTAAAGAAGGCGAGACATTTCAGCATGTCCACTCTTGTTTTCTTTTTTTCCTTTTTTTTTTCTTTTAAAATTTTCCATTTTAAGTTGGTTATTTCTGATTAATATTTAAAAGCAAATAATAATGATATGGTAGGAGATACACACCAAACAGGATGTGTAAATTATTATATAATAAGTATTGTGCAATAGCAAGAAATTTTCAACTGCACAGTAATGCACAATTGCAAGAAATCTTCAATTGCACAGTATTGCGCAATAGCAAGAAATCTTCAATTGCACAGTATTGCGCAATAGCAAAAAATATCCAATAGCACAATATTGCGCAATAGCAAGAAATTGTCAATTGTACAGTATTGCACAATAGCAAGAAATATTCAATTGCACAGTATTGTGCAAAAGAAGATACTTCGTATAAATTGCTTATTTCTTGATCAATTTCAATGGGGTTTTATTCTTGAATTCTTGGGGTTCTTTAATATGCTGAATCTAACCGTGTATTAAGTTTTTGGATTTTGGGCCCCGTTTTTAAATTGGTCCACATTGAGGTCCAAAGGGTCCAAAATTTAACTTTGTTTGATTTCATCAAAAATTGAATTATTGTGGTTCTTTGATATGCCGAATCTAACCGTGTATTTAGATTCTTAATTTTTGGTTCCGTTTTCAAATTGGTCTACATTAAGGTCAAAAGGGTCCAAAATTAAACTTAGTTTGATTTTAACAAAAATTGAATTTTTAGGGTTCTTTGATATGCTGAATCTAAACATGTATTTAGATTTTTGATTATGGGCCCAGTTTTCAAGTTGGTCCAAATCGGGGTCCAAAATTAAACTTTGTTTGATTTCAACAAAAATTGAATATATGGGGTTCTTTGATATGCTGAATCTAAACATGTATTTAGATTTTAGATTTTTGGCCCAGTTTTCAAGTTGGTCCAAATTGGGGTCCAAAATTAAACTTTGTTTGATTTCAACAAAAATTGAATATATGGGGTTCTTTGATATGCTGAATCTTACCATGTATTTAGATTTTTTATTTGTGGGCCCGCTATCAAATTGGTTCATATTGAGGTCAAAAGGGTCCAAAATTAAACTTTGTTTGATTTCATCAAAAATTTAATTATTGGGGTTCTTTGATATGCCAAATCTAACCGTGTATTTAGATTTTTAATTTTGGGTCCCGTTTTTTAAATTGGTCTACATTAAGGTCCAAAGGGTCCAAAATTAAACTTAGTTTGATTTTAACAAAAATTGAATTTTTGGGGTTCTTTGATATGCTGAATCTAAACTTGTGTTTAGATTTTTGATTATGGGACCAGTTTTCAAGTTTGTCCAAGTTGGGGTCCAAAATTAAACTTTGTTTGATTTCAACAAAAATTGAATATATGGGGTTCTTTGATATGCTGAATCTAAACATGTATTTAGATTTTAGATTTTTTGGCCCAGTTTTCAAGTTGGTCCAAATTGGGGTCCAAAATTAAACATTGTTTGATTTCAACAAAAATTGAATATATGGGGTTCTTTGATATGCTGAATCTAACCATGTATTTAGATTTTTTATTTTGTGGGCCCGCTATCAAATTGGTTCAAATTGAGGTCAAAAGGGTCCAAAATTAAACTTTGTATGATTTCATCAAAAATTGAATTATTGGGGTTCTTTGATTTGCCAAATCTAACCGTGTTTTTAGATTTATAATTTTTGGTCCCGTTTTTTAAATTGGTCTACATTAAGGTCCAAAGGGTCCAAAATTAAACTTAGTTTGATTTTAACAAAAATTGAATTCTTGGGGTTCTTTGATATGCTGAACTAAACATGTGTTTAGATTTTTGATTATGGGACCAGTTTTCAAGTTTGTCCAAGTTGGGGTCCAAAATTAAACTTTGTTTGATTTCAACAAAAATTGAATATATGGGGTTCTTTGATATGCTGAATCTAGCCATGTATTTTGATTTTGGACATTGGACCATAATAGGTAAATTAAAAAAATTGAAGTTCTTAGACAACATTCTTTCTGTGTCAGAAACCTATGCTCTGTCAAATATTTAATCACAATCCAAATTCTGAGCTGTATCAAGCTTGAATGTTGTGTCCATACTTGCCCCAACTGTTCAGGGTTCGACCTCTGCGGTCGTATCAAGCTGCGCCCAGCGAAGCATTTTATTATCAGTTTGTGTACCATCACCACGATGTTTGTGTAAAAAATTATCAGCTGATTATGTAATTATTAAATTTGTTTGCAGTTTTTAAATCCTTTATTTATTAAAATAAATCAAATGTCCTGAAATATTTATGTGAATTATTATCTACCATCCATAGTTTGTCTTTATTTGTTTTTCATAAGCAAATTAATATCCATTATTTACATTATCACACAGGTAAACTAATTTTGCTATTAATAGATCTAAGCATGTCTGTGTAGAATCTCCAAACTAAAATCGTATTTGTTATAATTTTATTTCTTTAAATAATCAAATTTAAATTTATGAAAATAATCATGATTGATCAAATATTATCGCATAAAGTTTACGTTTTCTGAAGACTATTTATATTTAGGTCATAGTTCTAGAGGCTTCCTCACAAAAATGTAAACATCCAAAATGGCGTCCATGACATGTGGTTACTTTTGCACATGTGAAAAAAATATATCTGACAAAAGTCAGATTTCTTTTGTCAAAAGGGATTTATATTTATATTGCAATAAATTATTCAGAAGGAGGTACATTCAGTTTAGATTATATTTCTGATTCTGTGAACATTTGGAGTTTAATCAAAATTCTCCAAACAGCAACGTCAACTTGTCAACTGAGTCTTGCATATATTAGAAATAAATTCAAACCATTTGAAGTAAAAGGGCATCTAATTCACATGACAAAGGAAGACAATGATTAAAGACAACAATTTATAAAGAAATAGTTCCTTTTATTTAGTAAAAACAAAATCTTCTTGTCTGCAAGATTGTAAATTCGTAACTTCCGGGTCCATTTCCTGTTAGAAAAACATTGAAAATATCCGATTGTGCATGATTTTGAACTAAATGACCTGAATATTCTTATCCGATTTGCCGATATATTCTTATATCCGATATTCGATTACACGATAAAATTAACATTAAACATATAGGGAAGGGTTTGGTGTTTTGGAATAATATTACAATAGCCGATATATTCGTTTAGCCGATATCCGATTAGGTGGAGTCTACTGTATTGCAATTTCATTAAAATCTGCATACAGTTATATGTACTGGATATCGTAAAGTGAGTTCTTATTATTGCAATACTCACCCAGTCGCATTATTTGCATCGATTAAAACCTTGCAATTTACAGTATATAATAATTCACATAATTTACAGTATGAATCTGTTCAGAAGATTATGTCTAAGTGGCACAAATAATTTATTTTTCAGAAGAGAGATGAGAGAACAGTAAAATGTACAGACATTCGATTGATAGATTTTGGTTCAGCAACATTTGATCATGAACATCATAGTACTATAGTCTCAACAAGGCATTACAGAGCTCCAGAAGTTATTTTAGGTAAGGCCAGGAAACAAAAGTTAGGTAAGGCCAGGCTGTCCCAAAATCTTTTCTAACTACTACTCTGAATACCAATGTTATGACATTTTCCTGAATTGTCTAAACAAAGTTTTGCAAAAACTTACTAGTCCGAATAAAATTTTAGGAGCCTCGGACTGGTCCATGACACAAAATCAGTACATGCACAGCATAAAACAAACAAAAATTAAAGAAACAGCACTTTTATTGCTGTTCTTCATCTCAAAGTCACAGTGAGGCCTTCAAATGGAGTAAAAAAACTCACCTCACTGGAAGTTTAAGACGGCGCTGATGTGGCTTAAAGCAAACAATCAATCAAACACTTCTCTGTTATATAGAAGGATCTATTTATTGATCTTTTGTTATGCCCCCGCCGTCCGTTCTTTTACTTAGATTTGCCTTAACCAAATGTTATGAAACTTGTACTCAATACTTATTACCACAAAACTCAGATCAATTTCGAAATGGGTGATGTAACTTTTACCTTTCTTGAGTTGTGTCCCTTTATAATGTTATATGCAAGAAGAGCATCATTGGTGTCCCATTCTCCATTTATTTGATTGTAAGTCTTAATGATGAAGTTCTAGACATGCAGATTTTTAATGTTTTTTCTTAATGATAAAAATAAATAAAAAATTATAATTGGAAACGTTATTGACATCTCAAAAAATGTTTGCATCTCTGTACAATAAAGATCAGAGTGTATTTTTGAATGATGACAAATATTTATTTATAAAAAATAAGAATATTTATAGCATATGTTATTGCAAAAATTAATAATTATTTATTTAAAGGTATGATTTTGATGGAGAAGATGCTAAGTACATTTAATTATTTGTTTTCAGAACTTGGCTGGGCTCAACCTTGTGATGTATGGAGTATAGGATGTATTATATTTGAATTGTATACTGGTTTCACATTATTTCAAGTAAGTTGCTTTAAACTCAATTTAAAATTTGAATAATTTGTTCCATTAAAAAAAAATTGATACAGAGGAAAGCCATTGTTTCGAAGCAGTTTTAACTTTTATCACATACAATGTGTTTTGAACAAAAGTCCAGAGTGTGATTATTTATTATTTATTGGACATATTTGAATTTTTTTCCAAATTTTAAACTTATTTTGGGCATTTAAACTGTTCCAATAATTACAGTATTTAGATAATGATGAGTTATAAGATGTATTTGCAATAAAAAGGGATGTCAACTCTGTAAAGAATACCAAACTCAAAGGTAAATTCAAAAAGGGGGGAAGCTTTTAAAAACTTGACAAAATCAAAGGAAGACCAAGGGAATAAATGGAAAACAACTCATATTATTGACTTGGTACAGGCATTTTCTGAAATAAATGGTGGGTTAAACATGGTTTTGTATGATTAAGTGCTCCTTTGTTTTACCAAGCAATACTCCAATACCCACACCTAAAACAAAAAAATTCTCAAGAATTATAGAAATTTGGGTATATTTTATAGTGGACTTTTGGGGTATTTTTGTAGTCATTTTGGAATTACAACGTTTTTTTTTGAGATGTATAAGTTGGACTCATTTCACCAAAAAATCTTTAAAAGAAAAAATACTCCCGCAAGTCCTGAACATTTCATTATAACTTATGATCAGTTTTGGTCTAGATTTTTTGTGAAAAGAGCCCCAGAATTGTAAATGACGTTGTCTATTGATGTTTACAGACACATGACAATAAAGAACATTTAGCTATGATGGAGAGAATATTAGGAACCTTGCCATACAGGATGATTAAAAAGACAAAGTAAGTACTAATATATATCCTCTTAATTTCTTTTAACTTTGTTCCCTCTTATAGAAAATAAAAAGCTTTTTCCTTTAGTTTTTCTCGGCCACAAGAGAAAATATTTGACTTGATAGATCAAAAGGGATTTTTTTTAAACATCATTTGGTATACAATGTACTAGTGCAAAAATTAAGGACAGTCTTGTAAAGTAGTGAAATTTTTGTTTTTACCTTTCTGTGGTCATTCATATTAAAAATGAAAAAGATTCTGCTTTTATCAGTATTCATCAGATTAATTGTGAATTTTTAATTTTGAAAAGAAGAAAAATAATTAGTTTTACAACAGTCAAATGACATTGAGCTTGACACCATTGAGGAACTGCTATCATAATGACTATAATCAAGTCTTTGTATTTTACTTCATTTTCACTCCTTAAATATTTGCAATTTATAAAGAGATGCTAGCAAATTGCTGTATTTTGAAACTTTTAAAGTTGTGATTGATTGTAGCTACTTTTTAAATACAAAACTACTTGCTGCCTGTTTCTTTATATCAAGTAAACCATACTGCTTATTCTTATTATTAGAAATTGTTCAGACAAGGTATAAAAATTTGAGCTTGAGTTGCAGAATAGATGTACAAACAAAACAAAGATCAGTGCTTTTAAAGATGTAATTTTGCATTTTTTTCTTCCCTGTAAACTTTTAATATGAAAGAACAAGCACTTTTCCTTCTTCATTGTATTTCAAACCAATCTTACCAAATTGTTCTCTGCCTCAATGAGGTTTTCCTTACCAAATTGTTCTCTTTCTCTCTCCGTGGTGTTTTCCTTACCAAATTGTTCTCTGTCTCTCTCCATGGGGTTTTCCTTACCAAATTATTTTCTGTCTCTCTACTTGGGGTTTTCCTTACCAAATTGTTCTCTGTCTCTCTCCTTGGGGTTTTCCTTACCAAATTGTTCTCTGTCTCTCTCCGTGGGGTTCTCCTTACCAAATTGTTCTCTGTTTCTCTCCGTGGGGTTTTCCTTACCAAATTGTTCTCTGTCTCCCTCCTTGGGGTTTTCCTTACCAAATTGTTCTCTGTCTCTCTCCGATGGGTTCTCCTTACCAAATTGTTCTCTGTCTCTCTCCGTGGGGTTTTTCTAACCAAATTGTTCTCTGTCTCCCTCCTTGGGGTTTTCCTTACCAAATTGTTCTCTGTCTCTCTCCGTGGGGTTTTCCTTACCAAATTGTTCTCTGTCTTTCTCCGTGGGGTTTTCCTTGCCAAATTGTTCTCTGTCTCCATGGGGTTTTCCTTACCAAATTGTTCTCTGTCTCTCTCCGTGGGGATTTCCTTACCAAATTGTTCTCTGTCTCTCTCCTTTGGGTTTTCCTTACCAAATTGTTCTCTGTCTCCCTCCTTGTGGTTTTCCTTACCAAATTGTTCTCCGTCTCCATGGGGTTTTCCTTACTAAATTGTTCTCTGTCTCTCTCCGTGGGGTTTTCCTTACCAAATTGTTCTCTGTCTCTCTCCTTGGGGTTTTCCTTTCCAAATTGTTCTCTGTCTCTCTCCGTGGGGTTTTCCTTACCAAATTGTTCTCTGTCTCCATGGGATTACCTTACCAAATTGTTCTCTGTCTCTCTCCGTGGGGGTTTTCCTTACCAAATTGTTCTCCGTCTCCATGGGGTTTTCCTTACCAAATTGTTCTCTGTCTCTCTCCATGGGGTTTTCCTTACCAAATTGTTCTGTCTCTCTCCATGGGGTTTTCCTTACCAAATTGTTCTCTGTCTCTCTCCGTGGGGTTTTCCTTACCAAATTGTTCTCTGTCTCTCTCCATGGGGTTTTCCTTACCAAATTGTTCTGTCTCTCTCCGTGGGGTTTTCCTTACCAAATTGTTCTCCGTCTCCATGGGGTTTTCCTTACCAAATTGTTCTCTGTCTCTCTCCGTGGGGTTTTCCTTACCAAATTGTTCTGTCTCTCTCCGTGGGGTTTTCCTTACCAAATTGTTCTCTGTCTCCATGGGGTTTACCTTACCAAATTGTTCTCTGTCTCTCTCCGTGGGGTTTTCCTTACCAAATTGTTCTCCGTCTCCATGGGGTTTTCCTTACCAATTTGTTCTCTGTCTCCCTCCTTGGGCTTTTCCTTACCAAATTGATCTCTGTCTCTCTCCTTGGTGTTTTCCTTACCAAATTGTTCTCTGTCTCCCTCCTTGGGCTTTTCCTTACCAAATTGTTCTCTGTCTCTCTCCTTGGGGTTTTCCTTACCAAATTGTTCTCTGTCTCCCTCCTTGGGCTTTTCCTTACCAAATTGTTCTCTGTCTCTCTCCTTGGGGTTTTCCTTACCAAATTGTTCTCTGTCTCCCTCCTTGGGGTTTTCCTTACCAAATTGCTCTCCGTCTCCATGGGGTTTTCCTTACCAAATTGTTCTCTGTCTCTCTCCGTGGGGTTTTCCTTACCAAATTGTTCTGTCTCTCTCCATGGGGTTTTCAGGCCTCTACAATAACTTTTTTTTCAACTTGCCCAATAGGACAAGTACATACCAAAACTTACTTGTCCGAATGGAATTGTAACTTGTCCAAAAAAAACCTTTATATTATCTTTTTTTTTTGCATTTGAGATTGATTCAATGAACAAAATGAATTAAAACAATAGAACAGAATTTGATTTATATTTCTTAATATCCTTTTCAAAAATATGAGTCGAGAACAACTGAATCTAGTCATGTCTAGTCACATGACTTAAGTTCCAGTTTTCATCAATGCCAAAGTCTCATCAGACTGCACATCAGGCACAGTCTGGAAGGCCTGTCAGTCTACACTCATTTGGTTTGTATCCTGGTCTTTTATGTTGATAACATATTGATTATTATGATAAATGCCTAACTACAATCAGCTTTGTTTTTAATATATTAAAATGTTTATTCAAAAACAATCAAATATTGTTTTGTCTAAATATGATCAAATATGATTTTATGAGTTTAAGGGTCAATAATTTTTCATTTTTATTTTAAAAATATTTTTGTTAAATAAAATTTATCATATATTTATAATAAAGCAACAGAATAACATAGGAAGAAAGCGAGGTACTGGTTTGTCTTGGTCCCGAAATGTCTCCAACGGTGCCGAACTGTCTATTAAACATGGAGCTGATTGTTTCCTTGCCGGTGCCGAACTGTCTTGTTACTTTATCTACAAAGCGCACTTCCGATCAGTAAGACTGGTTTCTGAGAAAAGGATGCGTTTTATCTGTTATAAAGTATCTGACAAAGAACCAGTTTTAAATTATTGATCGCAAGTTAACATGTCAAATTATAAATTAATATTTATTTTTGTCTTCTTTTCTTGATTTTTTGTTTGTTACTTTGATTATCAAAGTTGGATTTAATTTATTTTCTACAGAAGGATTTTACTTGTCCCGTCGGACAAGCTTGATATGGCTTTTACTTGTCCGACCTTTTTTCCCTCTGGTACCGGACAATCGGACAAGCGTTATTGTCGAGCCCTGGTTTTCCTTACCAAATTGTTCTCTGTCTCCATGGGGTTTACCTTACCAAATTGTTCTCTGTCTCTCTCCGTGGGGTTTTCCTTACCAAATTGTTCTCTGTCTCCATGGGGTTTTCCTTACCAAATTGTTCTCTGTCTCTCTCCATGGGGTTTTCCTTACCAAATTGTTCTCTGTCTCCCTCCATGGGGTTTTCCTTACCAAATTGTTCTCTGTCTCTCTCCGTGGGGATTTCCTTACCAAATTTTTCCATGTTTCTCTCCATGTGGTTTTCCATACCAAATTGTTCTCCGTCTCTCTCCATGGGATTTTCCTTACCAAATTGTTCTCCGTCTCCCTCCTTGGGATTTTCCTTACCAAATTGTTCTCTGTCTCTCTCCTTGGGGTTTCCTTACCAAATTGTTCCATGTCACTCTCCATGGGGTTTACCTTACAAAATTGTTCTCTGTCTCTCTCCATGGGGTTTTCCTTACCAAATTGTTCTCTGTCTCTCTCCATGGGGTTTTCCTTACCAAATTGTTCTCCGTACCAAATTGTTCTCCGTCTCCCTCCTTGGGGTTTTCCTTACCAAATTGTTCTCTGTCTCTCTCCTTGGGGTTTCCTTACCAAATTGTTCCATGTCTCTCTCCATGGGTGTTACCTTACCAAATTGTTCTCTGTCTCTCTCCATGGGGTTTTCTTTACCAAATTGTTTTCTGTCTCTCTCCATGGGGTTTTCCTTACCAAATTGTTCTCTGTCTCTCTCCATGGGGTTTTCCTTACCAAATTGTTCTCTGTCTCTCTCCGTTGGGTTTTCCTGTTTGTAGTTTGGCTATTAATAGTTTATCTGTAATTAGCATGTGATTTTCAAGAAGTTTTTGCTAAAACTTTTTACTTTGTATGATCATTAAAAGCCCTCTTATAGGATATGGCTGTTTCAGTTTCTGTTTCAACCATAATATAAAAAACGTTCTAAAAAATATTTCTTCATTGAACATGGTTAAAATTGCGACCACACAAATAACTTGGAATGAAAGATTCCTTGTATTTGATATACAAGCTGTATATTTTTCTTGATAAGAGGCCAAATGATTGTGTTACCTTTTTAAAATTAATAATTCTTTAATCCAGAGATCATATTTTTGAGATGACTGAAACATATCATGATTAACGTTCACTTTGTCAGTGAAAAAGAAAAGAGAAAGGGATGTAATACATAGGATATTGATAGGAAAAAATGTGCTGTGGATTAATTTTTTTTTGTGGCTATCAATTTTTGTGAATGAGAAAAAAAGTTGTATTTTCATGGATATTTTTGATTTTGTGGTTTTGGCAACGTCTGCATACAAGCCAATAGACATCTTGTACAGCATTAAACATTTGACCAATAGAAATCTTGTACAGCATTAAACATTTGACCAATAGAAATCTTGCACAGCATTTAACATTTGACCAATAGAAATCTTGTACAGCATTAAACAATTGACCAATAGAAATCTTGTACAGCATTAAACCTTTGACCAAACGAAATCTTGTACAGCATTAAACGTTTGACCAATAGAAATCTTGTACAGCATTAAACATTTGACCAATAGAAATCTTGCACAGCATTAAACATTTGACCAATAGAAATCTTGCACAGCATTAAACATTTGACCAATAGAAATCTTGTACAGCATTAAACATTTGACCAATAGAAATCTTGTTCAGCATTAAACATTTGACCAATAGAAATCTTGTACAGCATTAAACATTTGACCAATAGAAATCTTGTACAGCATTAAACATTTGGCCAATAGAAATCTTGTACAGCATTAAACATTTGACCAATAGAAATCTTGTACAGCATTAAACATTTAAATAAGTGGTTCACCTTTTACTGATGAAAACCATGACACTTGGTATCCCACTAATAGTAATGAATCCACAGTAACTATCTTTAAGCCCCCATAGCACAACTGTATTTAAATTCAACAAAATTTATTTAAGAGTGCTTCAATTAAATACATGATAAGTGTATACAACCATATTATTCTGACCATTATTTTATCTATAATAAAAAATTAATGGTTAGATTTTACTTTGCTTGCAACAATAGTTGCCATAAATTAGTAAATTGCAAAGTAAAGTTTGACAAGTGTACAACAATTATGACCCAGTTTTCTGTTTCAATTATGAAGAGTACCAGATTTGTTCTGGCATGGCCGACTTGATTGGGACCCAACAACCAATGCAGGCCGTTATGTCAGAGAAAATTGTAGGCCTCTTTATGTAAGTATGTCTTGCCTTGTCTGCCCAGGCCTTGCCTGCCTGCTTGTGGCCTGATTACTGAGTCGCCCATTAATCATTTTGCTTTTGAAGTACGAGCATGTCCAGTTGATTTATTTTTGTGATATGTGTTTCTCTGTGTCAAGTGTTGTATTGTCAAAAAACAAATGATTTCTTTTACCATTTGAAACGAAAAACAAAAATGACTAATGAAATATCAAAAAACTAAATATTGATGATAATGATAGTTAGGAGGAAATTGTCTAATAAGAAATGAAGTAGCAAGCCTCAAAGAAAAAAAAGGTTTCAGAAACATGTTGCATTGATATTTTTAAAATCTGTTTAATGTTGCAGGTTTAGCATTTTCATTTTCATTTTAAGTGAAAGGTCAGTTATTTTAGAAATACAAATTTTCGTGGAAAGGTCAAAAGGTCAAGCAGACTTTGGCAGACATACTTTACAGAGAGAAACTGGTATCATTTTAGCATGGAGTAGTAAGCATGTTTGTCTATTAAAGCTTTTGTTTGTCTAGGAAAACCAAGTACTTCTATCATGGCCGGCTAGACTGGGACTCCAAGAATAAGAATGGCCGTTATGTCAGAGAAAATTGTAGACCGATCAAGGTAGGAGTTGTATAAAGTATTACCCAATCATGTTTGTTTATTAATGTACAAACTACTTAAGTTCCTGCTTCTATGAAACTTATGAAGAAGAAAAACCAATTACAGATTTTAATTTTTAATGTAAGATATAGATTAATAAAGATTCTACTACTGTATCAAGTGTGATATGATATTTCTTTACCTGAGACAATTAAATTTTGAATTTGAAATTTAACTGTCGAGAATGCAGAAATATTGCATTGCACGAGAATGGTGGAATCTCTTTCTCTAATGAATTTTAGGTGATTTGTTGACAAACTTTATCATCTTCTTCATTGATCTGCTAAAGATGTGTTCTTTCTATGTGACGTCATCAGGCATCAGTTTCCTTTTTTCCTGTCATCACAATAGCAAACTGAGGAAATCAAGAAAATTTAAATCGGCTGATTTAAAGAAAATGATGGATAAGTGATTTAAAGTTTGATAACCTGCTTGTAAAGAACAATACCATTCCATAAAGTAAAACAAAGGTCGAGATGTTTGGAACATAGGAACTTAAGTTAGTTTGTGCATTTGTAAAGGTATTATTCAAACATTATCAGTGACAAACAACAAAATTATTTCATTTTGTGACTATATATAAATATATCTATTGCTATTTTGTGTATTTTTCCTTTGATCTTTTTTGTGAATATCTTTTATATCATGCTACTTGCTTGAGATAGAAAATTATTGCCAGAAACTAAGAGGGCATATGCCGTTAGTCACTGAACATCAATGAAGTCATAGGCAAAATAGTGATAAACAAATTATCAATGGTTTTCAAACTAAAGGATGTCGCCCTTCAATGAGATTGTAGCTGAGAAACACCCTCTCGTTTGAAAAACCATCTATAATCTGTCAATATTCTTTGTTAATAGTTCATAAAAATGTCAACATTTCGATGATATTTAGTCAATCACAGGATTAACTTCATAACCAAAAATGTTTGCTCTTACAAAAGGATGTTTTGAATATCAAAACATAATCTTAGGTGTTTGCACCAATTTCATCATGGCCAGCTAGGCTGGGAGTCCAAGAATAAGATTGCCAAAATTTTATAATAATGTAAGCATTTTTGTCTTTATTTAATAATCAAATTTTATGTTAGCCACTGATAATGTTTGTATATATGTTGATACATGACTGGTGTTTGTAGAAAACAAAAAGCACAATATTGCTATATATAATTAAGATTACAATCAGTTGCCACAAGAATATATTTTGCTCATGTGAATTTGGTGGGAAAATCCTGTGAAAATTTTTACCCAGATTTCACGTGAGAAAATTTATACGAATTATTCACCGGGAAAAATTTCGTTTAAGATTGTTGTACATAAAATTTTACATTCTGAATAAGTTGCAGTTTGGAAAGCACTTTTTGATTTAAAAAAAAAGGACACTGTTTCTTTTCACTTGAATTTCCCATAAAACTAAGGTGAATAAAGAATAATTTATATGCTGATTTCACTTCAAATTTATATGAGCAAAATTTGCTTGTAACAAGATCCAAATTTGACTATTTAAATCAAAGCTAGCAAAATACTGATGGTGGGGGGGATTGGAGGCACTCAAATTAATTAGAAATGGGTGGTTGCATTTCCTTTTAATTTTGTAAGAATTATAATTAGATGTAAATTTTTATTTAGTAGGTGGTCAGGGTTTTAAAAAGTGCTTCCCACACCCCTATGCATTTAATTCTGGAATAACCCTGAGCAAAATACTAGAATGAAAAAATAAAAAAAAATGGACAAATATACAGCAAGGTGTGATATCTTGTTTGAAAAAAATATGAAAAGGACAGTTGTATGCTACCAATAAAATCACAGACAGGGATCTTATTTGAATTCAGTTTATAAAAAAAATAAACAATTGGTAAAATTTGAAAAGAAGAGTTATGAGATCTATTAAAACATACCGGTCACTTTGAATGCATATCTTTAGGAAGTATCGTATATTTATTTGTAGAGGGAAAATGTCCTTAAAGAAGTTTGAAATTTATTCTGTCTTTTACCTGTTTTATAAGTTGCTTTTAAGGCATCTATTATGTTTAAATGAAACAGCTGTCATTAAAAAAGATAAGCAAACATGGAAAAAAAAACCACCACAAAACATATAAAATCACATGTTACATGAATATCCAATTTTAAACAAAAATTTAAGTACAATAAGAATAAGAACTCCTTTTCCAGCATAAAGGATCGACAAAAAGATCTCTCCATTTAATCACAATTTTCTTAAACTTTCATATTTCTATGTGATTAATTTCCATTTCGAAACTGATATGAGTTTTTCTCTGTGGAGTAGAGAAAGAAAGTGATGAACATAGCCAAATTCGTTGATGTTGCCTAGGAAAATAGCAATAAATATTATATCTATGATCTTTCAACTTGAGGAAGTTTCTTGGCTGAATCTCATCTCCGGGCTATCGTCCTTTAATCAGATTGTAGCCGAGCAACTCCAACTTGTTGTCAGTACCAAAGATAATCTTTTACTATAGTATTTATTGTTAACCTTGATTCAGTCAGGCAAGGTTAAAAAGTTACCAAGAGTTCCGTACAAATCAAAATGATGAGGCACTAGATCCTTGCAGTCATAAAATGTCAAGTGCGATTATCAAAATTCAACAAATAAAAATCCTGGATTTTGTGTTTCAAGCACAAATTTTGTACTCCGAGGAACTGAGTAAAGTTTTATGGCAAAGAGCCTAGATCCTTGTTTACTTTGCATGATAAACCTGTTTTGATATTTCTGAGAATTAGTTGCCTGTTTTAGTGTACTGTAAATTCAGAAATTATTGTATGCATTCATTATTGCGATTTTTAAAAAATGGACAAAAATGCGTGATTAATTATTGCGATTTTAGGAAAATCTGCATACAGATATATGTATCAGATATCAGAATTCAAGTTCTTATTATTGCAATATTCACCCAGTCGCATAATTCGCATTAATAAAAACCTTGTATTAATTTGTGAATTTACAGTAATTGATGCAGTATTGTGTTGATATCCCTGCATGATTGTTGTTGTCAGTAACATGTCCACAATGATAGACCATATATTATTATATTTACCATGTAATATCTAATACTGAAAGTATGCCACATTTTTTAGGGGGCTTTGCCTTCTGATTGTTTTAGTGTTATGTTCAATAATTTGTTGCCACTTGTTATTTTTGTAGCAGTCATCATTGATACGTTTTTTATTCACGATATTTTTTGTTCAGGGTGTCAAAAAGAATGGTCAGATAAAAAAAAAACTTTTATTGCCTGACAATCTAATTTGGAACTAGTCAATACGATTAGTGGTCCATCAGTTGTCCGGAATGATCTTTGGACAGTAGTAAATGTTATAATTATTGTTACAAGTCTAGTTTTACCCTAGTCAATAAGATCATGTTTTTGTTAAATCTACTGACCAAACAACTGTGTACATATTTGTTAATTTATTAGTTAAGTATGAATAAAAAATTATGCATATAGATGCCAGGACTAAAATTTTCTACGCCAAGACGCGGGTTTTGTTTACATGAAATTTGTGGCATACAAAGATTCTAACTATGTATAAATACCATGTGATTTGCCTGATTTGCATGTGATGAAAATGAGTGATATATTAAAGTGAAATATACATTGTTGTGCTGTAGACTCACTTATTGTTTTGGGTACTGATGTTTGGAGTTTGACTAAAAGCTTCTATTTTGAGGCATTTTGAACAAAGAACTGCTTCTCTAAATGCTTAGAATTGAAATTGAAGAACAGTTTCTGAAATTGGCCACTGTTCCAGATTTTTAGAAGTTTTGTTCATACAGTTCTTTACGAACAATGAAGATATCGACAATGAGATAAATTCTTTAAAATTTGCCCTTTTGAATTTTGAAATTTTCTGTATTAAAGTTTTATCAATGAACAAGACAATGAGTATCCCAAAAATGTCAGTAAACCCCCAAGTAGACAGTATATGTTTCATTGAGTGGATTCTGGTGTGTTTGTTTATTAGAGTGTGAGATAGTTGAATCCACGAACTGATATCATAAAGTTATATAATATTGTACTCATTTTATACTTTTTTGAAATTTTTCCATATTGTGCAATTTGTAATTTAATTGCTTATAATTCAAAATATTTTAATGGAAAGCAAATAAATTTTTATAAGTTAACAATATCTTACATGTCTTATATATATTTCAACTGACAAAAGATTTTTTTAAATTTATTATTTCTATGCTCTTACATTGAAAATGTGTACATGTAATCGACCTAACAAGCAACATGGGGCTTAGAAAATTTATTTCGAGTTGGTGTACCAAAAAAAAAAAGTCACGAGTTCAGGGGTTCAAATTTACTTTAAGCAATGGAAGGTCCAGGACCTATTCTCAAAAAGACTGAAAGGTCCTCCTTTATTCATAGAAGGTCCAGTTTCAATTGTACTTGCAAACTAAAGTCGAGAACGGAAACTAATTTTGGGACGTAGGGATGGACAAGGGTAACACTTAATGCTCCCTCCGCCGCAGGGCCATAAAAATGATGTTGCCTACCTGCCTACTTTGCATCAAACAAATGTTATGAAACTTATACACAATGCTTATTACCACAAAACACAGAACAAGTTCGAATTTTGGTGGTGTCACTTTTACTGTTTTACAGATGATGCCCCTTTATAACGTTAAATGCAAGCTGGGAATCATCTGTGTCCCATGGACACATTCTCCATTTATTTTTTCAATAAATTAGGTAGACTCTTTAAGGAAATTTATAAGTGCTTCACCAAAATTATATGGAATTGAAAAATGTTTAACAAAAAATGTTCAGAAAGGCATGAAAATTTAAGAAGGGAGGCAGGAAATAAAATATTTTTTTTAGTTTTAAGTATTATTAAAGATGAGAACCTTGTAGAATGTTATCTGGTGAGGTTGTATATTAAAATTCACTCTAGTACGAAGTAATATTTTATCAATATGGTCAAAAGATCAAAGGCGGATTTGGTGGGGGGGGGGGGGGGGGGAATGGGGCAGGGTGCATGACCCCACCTTCCTAAGCTACAATTATGGTTAATCCAGACTTTTTACCTGTTCCACTCCCAACTTAGTCTATGTTAGGGCCTGCGGGCTCCCTCCTTTTTCAAATTCCTGGATCCGCATCTGAAGATTACCCACTAGATAATAAACACCTTTAAACAAAATGGGTGGTGCTTATTAGGTTGATTACATTTACTTAATTTTAAGATCTTTAAAAATAAAGAAAGGAAAACATTTAATGATAGAAAAAAAAATAAAGAATGGATAAAATTTAATGATAGTGAAATATGTGTTCCTTGAGAAGTTGAAGATTGTGGATTTGTTCTTCCAGAGTTATATAAGAGACAAGGGCAGTGAACATCGACAGGTTCTTGAAGTTGTTGAAATGATGCTGGAATTTATGCCAACTGACAGAATGAAACTTAAAGATGCCATGAAGCATCCATTCTTTCGTCCTGTTAAAAAACAACATCCAAACAGATACCCCGAATACACTCCAACACCAGACAGGGAAGCTAAGTCTAAATCCAGGAGGTCATCACGAATTGTTGAGGAAGTAAAGGAAGAGGAGGCACGAGAGAAAGCTGAAGAGAAAAAGGCAGATGCAGCTTGTGCCATGCAGTGTGATGATGGGAATCTGGCCCCTCAGTTGTCCATTGATGAAAAAGATGTTGATGATGTCAGATATGAGCATATTTTAAAGGACGAGGAAGCTCGGACGAAAATTGATAGTGAGCGTGGCCCATTACAGCATGGAATCAATCTCCCAGCTCTAGAGGAGGAAAAATCTCATTCTGAGCCAAAAATAATGAACAATTTGAAACCACCAAGAAAATTTGAAGATGATGAAAAGGAGAAACCGAAATCAGAAGAGACTTGTAAAACAAGGTCAAGAGACATTTTTGATACTGAGATGAATTTGTTAAATATGAAATTACGACATATCAAGGAAGAATTTCAGATGGAATCAAAGTTGTCACCTCCAAAAAAGGTGGAGGTTGCCTCTGCCAGTAATAAAGCGGGGAAAAAAGAAGAAGAAAACAAACCAATGGAGGAAAAATCAAAATATCAAAAGTTAAGTGATGCTGCATTGGTAGAGGCAAATCTTACTCCTACACAGATGGTCCGACAATGGCTACAGACTCCGACACTAGGGGGAAAATCAGACAAAAGTCCTCAAGGTTCTGTCAGTCCAGCTGTGGCCAGGAAGGACTTGGCCCACGTGAAGAGTTCTTGCAGTCCATCCAGTTCAAAAGCAGACGATGAACAAGGGAATGCTGAAGACACATCATCAAGGAGGAGAAATAGACGACATCGCCAGGATGCACAAGTCGATTCTTTTGACAATGAGGAGGTGACAGATCTTGATGCTAGACTTGAAGCAAGACGAGCTGCTAGACTAAAGAAGACTACCGATAGTCAAGACGTCTCTCAAACCTCTCAAACCTCTAGCCTAGATGATTCAGAGGCAGGGGAGACAAGAGAACAAAGAGCTGCAGCAAGACGACTTCGTAGAAACAAAAAGGTAGTTGAGCAAGAACCACCTTCGGAACCTAAAAAACAAGAGATTAGTATGAGAAGTATATTTGACTTTTTCAAGAAAACAACCCCTGAACCCATCAAACTATATCCTGATTTATTTGTTGATCACTGTACCAAAGAAAAGAGTGAATCAGTTAAAACTGACAAATCAGAAACCTCAGATTCCACAACTGCATTGTCCATAGAATGTAAAACCAATTGTGATAATACTGCTGAAGAAATGGAAGCCAGAACAGATGATGCTGCAGAGACAATAGATACCACACTAGTCGAAAACGGACCTGTGGAGGCTAATGTTGAAGAAAACGGACCTGTGACTGTGGAGGCTGATATTGAAGAAAATGGACCTATAGGGGACACTACATTGATATCTGTGGATGGGGAGGACATTAATGTGACAATCACAGAAGAAAACAATTCCAGGGTCGGGCCGCAAAATGATTTCACAGTTGTCGAGGAAAAGGAATCTAAAGAAAATATTGAAAACGGTGACAATGTTTCTGCTAGCGCTTTCATGTGTGTGCCTACACAAACTATAAAATTTCCTGGATCTCTGCAAAATGAAGAATCTGTGGACAGTTAATGGTTTTCATTGTAGGTGATGTTTGAATGATTTACAGTGTGTTTTACTGCATGGAAGTTTCATCACAGTTTTATATAGATTTCTTGTGGTTGAATTATCATGTCATTGCATTTTGTATCATATTTGCATTTTGTATCATACTTTCTTAATTTTGCATCTCTATATAATCATTTAGGTTTTGCTTTTAGTAGAGTTGTCTTGGAAAGTACATTGAAATTATTTTTGAAGTGGAGAGATTCAATAGACTTTTTTGACATCTCATGATATTGTCTTGCCATATATAACAAGGCTTGGTATAAGATTATATCATCTCAAGTTGCTGTTTATGACTTAAGAGAAATAACCAGTTAAAACCAGTTTTTACCAAATTCAGCTTTGTTTTTTTAGCTATAAATTTTATCTTTATTTTCATCAATTTAGCAGGAATTCGGAGCTCTTGGCTAATTTAATATTGAGAACTAGACAACTCTTCTCATGGAATGTTTTCATACTAAAAAAAAAGAATGAATGCTTTAAGTAAACTAATATTACCTGTACCAAAATAAGAGTGCATGGAATGATACAATAGATGAATGACAGAAGATGTTATATGCTAGATTGACAACATAGAATGAGTGATCTGTAGGCATGAATTCCTTATTGTATAGAAAAACTCTTGTTATTTACTTAAATAATTAAATATCTTTGTGTGCTGTGAGTGTATTAACTTGCCTGACATTTTTCAAATATCTTTTCGAATTCTTTGTTCACAGCTAAAGAATCAGGTTACTAGCCCTTTGTTTCAGTTTAGTAAAGAGACATTCATGCTAACAAAAAGTTTGCATAAAATTAGAGACAAATGTAAAAGATCTTCTGGTCTAGTTTATCAAACAGATTTTGGTAACAGACTGGATTCCAAAATAATTTTACATATAAGTCCTTGAATTTCTTGATCAATCAGTGTTTTACATTATGCTGACCATTACATGTTGAAACATTATTTTGTTTTATTGGTTTTTTAACGCCATTGCTCAGATAGACATTGTCATTTCCAATGAATAACAGGTGCCACTATTATAGCAGGAACTGATTATCCTACCAGAGCACCTGAGTCCACCCTTTGTTTTTGGTGGGGTTCTTGCTGCTCAATTTTTAGTTATCTTTTTAGTATTTTGTGGACTGTTGTTTGTCTTTTGTCTTTTTGACCAAACATCATTTGTGGTCTCTTGGTCACCAGCTGGCTTCAAGTGCCTTAAGTTGCGAGTTCCATCACTGGGCTTGTCAAACTAAAGACTTGATTACTGGTATTTGCTGCTTCTCCATTAAGCACATAGCATTTGGAAGTAAGAGTGAAGACTGTTCAGCTCAGAATAATGTGTCTTGGCAAGGTGACATGTCTTCTTGCATACACCCTGTGAACAAGCATGTTTTAAAAACTCATACTCAGCATGTTAGTCCAGTACAAAGCAGGGTTCATATTCATACTACATTAACATAGTCCTTTTCTGATATGCATATGATATTTGCCGCTGGACAATAAGCACAAATTTATCATCAATGGTCAACTTTTTAGCTCACCTGGCCAACTAAGCTTTTCTCATCACTAGATGTTCGTGGTTGGGGTGATCTTCCGTTAACTTTTACTAATATCTCCTCCGAAACTACTGGGCCAAATTTAACCAAACTTAGGCACAATTATAATTGGGGTATCTAGTTTTAAAAATGTGTCCTGCCTACCAACCAACATTGCCAACATTACTAAAAATAGAACATAGGGATAAAATGCAAGTTTTGTCTTTAATCTTGAAACCTTCTGCTATACATAGAGAAAATCTGAGAGGACAGAAATGTTCAGAATGATGAGATCTGTCTACTGTCAATTTACATCAAAACAGTCTGATCACTTCTTACAGGAGTTATTGCCCTTTAATGACGAATTTTGCCAATTTTTTTCTCTTTTGCCTATTATCATGAACCAATTTTAAGGGTTATGAAAGTTGGCACCTTTGTTAACATGTCATTGTTAATTGAAGTGCACATTTCAAGTGTAGATATCACAACATTAACAGGTTTAAATGATTATAATTTTTAAAGAAACCATAATGGTTTCCAATCTATGTCATGTTTGACCAAACATTGTTGATCAATTGTTAATTGTGAATCACAGATACAATTACTGAAGTAGAACATACTTTAGTTACACTGTCATTTAACCCAGGCTTCATCATATGACTTACATTTAGTAATACTTAGTGTTTGTGATGCATGTACTGTATATGATATATTCTCATTAAGACATTAACTGATTAACTCATCATTTCATATGAAATTTTTTTGAGGGGTGGAGAGGGGGGGGGGAGGGTAACAGTTGTTAATTTGTGAAAAACTAATCATCTCAAATCATCACATCCCTTTAATTGGTGATGAGAAGAAAAAACTACCAAACAATTAAAAAAAAAAATACTTACCTTTCATTACACAAATCACCACATGTAAATTATGACAGCAGAAAAAAAATTCACAATTATGCAAATAATTCTTATTGTTCATCATAATTTAATCGCATATGATTATAATGAATATTAGATAATTGTAAATTTATGTTTATAATTATATTTTTCAGCGTTACATTCGACAGCCAGAAAATCCAGAACATCAAGAGTTTTTCGATTTCATCAGCTCCATGTTAATGTATGACCCCACGGAGCGTATCTCATTACATGAGGCTTTCAGACAACCTTTCTTCTCCCCCTACTTCAGAACAGACCAAGCGGCAAATGCAGGCAATGACAATGGCGACCGAGACAGGTCACATAGTACCAGTAGATGACTATAGGGAACCAGTCAATAGCAAGGCAGAAAGACAGTAAACAAGTCTGTGTAATGACTGGTTACTTTGGCTGACGTGAGGCTGGCTAGAGCTCTATGTATTAAACATCCTGTACTTGTGGTTTTACATTGTAAAATGAAAGTTGGTTAAAGCTTTGGCCTAGTTTGTAGTCCTTATTTATTGGAGGTTGTGTAAACGCAGGTTCTAGCTTTGGCTTTGGGTATGAAGAGGTCATATTTACAAGGTGCTATGTATAGAACCCTAAACGACAATCCCTGCCCAGTACATAAGATACTGGTATATATAAAGAGAGAGTGTGTGAGTTTAATGGTGCTAGGACAAATGTATAGAGGCTAACTACACTCAAGATTAGTATTTACCTTTAAAACAGTATAACTGTGTGTAGTCCCGTTGTCAGTCTATATTCATGCTTCAGACGAATTGTAGAAATAATTCAAGCAGCTGTGTCCCATACATTTCTGTTCATTTTATTTCTAAATGAAATTCTAGTTAATATGCTTAATGCATGTTTCAGACCAAATTTAGAAATAATTCAAGCAGATGTGTCCCATACTTCTAAAAAAAAGTTTATTTAGATATGCTTAATTCATGAATTGTTTGAATACAGAAGTGACTTTTAATGCAAACTTTGACAACATGCATTACAAAACGTTTATGATATTATTGGTACATATTGCTGTTTTGTTTTTAAGAACAGGGTCATTGCACATGGCTCTTCATTTATTTTTTGATTGTTTAGTTTAATATGTCAAACTGTCATCAAATGTTCAAAGTTTTAGAAAGTATTTGAGCAGTAACAGTTTTGGTGATAGTTATTTATAGAAATGTTCTTTGTGTTTAAATTTTACCAAAGAAAAAAACAAAATACTTGAAAATAAGTTCAATCATTGGAAGTTCACAAAATAATCATACATTAGTTTGCTTGTGAGAAGGGCATTAATTTGTATAACAGGAAAAACACAGGTCTAATCTCAATGATTTTTAGCACATTTTTTATTGTAAATATGTGTAAACTGTATAAAACAAATATCTCAATGTCAGTTTGTTGTAATTAGTGTAAAATATGTAAATAGGTTAAACTTAGAACATACGAAATGGCTGAATATCTATCTTAAGAGGTTATAAAGTCTCACATAGATATACAGTGGACATGAATTTTCCTCAAGTAGGATTAAAAGAAACTTAAATGTGATATTTAATTTATTGGTAAGATTTTAATTGTGAATGTCATTTTTTAAATAATTATATTTTACCAAAAAAAATGTCCAATAATTGTAATGTGTTTGTTCTTTAACAATGAATGTTAAGATTTTACATACATATCTCATGGGGAAAATATTTTATTTGACATTTTAAATGGTCTGAAACATAAGGGGGAGGCGATAATAAAAGTTTTTTTTTTTTAATTTGTTGGTTTCATATATTAAGGGGAGACAATCGATTATGATAAGGGTCTTTTTAATTTATCTGTTACTAAAACAAATCCCCCAATATATGATTAAATTCAGTATCCATTATTTCAACATATTTGTATCTACATGTCAATTTGTTGATCAGTATGCATCAGTCTTTTTGTAATTAATTATTTTTTGGGAATGTGAAACTTGTCTTTTCACAAGAGCTTGAAAAACAAAAGAATTGTCCATAGATTGGACAATCTTTAAACATATTAAAATGTGCCTTGCAGGGTTTTGTATTCATTTTCATTTTAAGAATTTTCTGTTTTAAGGGAAAAAAAGGAAGAAAAGATGTTCTGGATTTTCATGTTGTGGAGAATTGGTAATCATATGCAAATATTTCAATATTTCTTATTAAATGAAATAAATAAGATAATTCTTGTATTAATAAAATTATGATTACACCTGAACAATAAGAATGTTTCATTTAGGATTTTGTTAAAATGTATCACATATTATGATATTATATTGAAGACCTAAAATCTAAAAATATGTGTTTCTGCTAACCCCAAAAAATCGAAAATAATTTGACAAATTTTAAAAAGCAGTGTTATTTAAGTAAGAATCCCACCACATACCTTTTGATACCAGTAAAAAATTAGGTGGGGATGGGGTGCTTTTGAAAATTAAACAATAGAACAAATTAGCAGAAACATCATTATTATTATATGTTTATGGTGTAATTAATTTGAAAGATCTTGAATTTTTGGCATTTTATTTATA